CAACGATGATTCACGGCTACAAGATCGGCCGTCTGACCTGCTCCCAGGGGCGAGCGTAGCAATCTGAACAGCCACAAGAAGCTGTTGCTACAGCTGGCCCAATTGGCCACAGGTCCAGCGACTTCAAAGCAGTATGGCCCCCACCAATTTCCCCATCGACTGCACAAAATTTGTCCAGGACGCGGTGCTTCATCCATTTTCGCCATCTCTCCGCTCGGTTATATAAACAGCGGAGATTGTTTGATGCAGATTAGGGTCAGGGGAAGACAAGGAGACAGAAATCTATACACATACATTTTTATAAGGGATTAGAAGATGCAATAGAACAATTTCTGTGACTGGATTAGTCCACTCTGGCCTCTGGAGGGAAGCCGGCGTTTCTTTGCCCTCATTATCTAATCTTCACAACACAAACAAACCACTTTGTAAAAATGAACTGTAACCTGAAATCCTTCCAATTCCTCCTCTGAAGAGACCCCGACACCAACATTGCAGGTAAAAGCGCAGACATTTCATCTACTTTACAATTCCCTCTTGCAGCATTTTTCCTTTCCGTGAACAATTTTATTGTGTTGCAATGGGCCTCTGAACTTGCTCGGAGTTCAACTACTCCAGGAAGAAGGTTCTCATTCATCCAGGTCATGGTATATTGGTTAAAGAAAAAAAAATCAAGGCAACTGGACTGCTTTATTTCTCTTGAAGATGTTTCGCTTGTCCTCCGACTAGCTCCCTCAATTGAGAAAGGTCAGATGACCAGCGAAACGTCTTCAAGACAAATACAGCAAGTCCAGTTGTCTTGATTTGATTTTGAAGGATAGTCCCTAGCACCCTCCCTCTTTACAAGTCATAGCCCTCTCCTCTCCTGGGAGTGTCTAAACCGCTGTCTGCACTGGCCCAGCTCCTCCACCCTCACCTGAGATCCCTACATAACCTTTTTTGTTTTGCAGCTGCTGGTGGAGGAGCAAAGGGGGAATACCATAGAGCAGGGGCAGCCAAACTCTGGCCCTCCAGATGGAATGCAACCGCAAACCCCACCCTGAATCTGCCTCTAAAAGTCATGCTTGTGGCTGTCAAGAGTCTTACAAAGCCTTATGGGATTTGTAGTTTTAGCACTCCTGAAGGGGCGAAGTTTGCCTACCACTACTATAGAGTGTCAGCCCAGAGTCTGCTGACATCACAACCAAGATGGCGGCACCCAGCAGCAGTCTCTGGGCTTTTGGATATCTATATAAGAGAGGCTTTTATAGGTCAACATGACTAAAATGCCTTAAAATACGCATATAACCTTATGGGAAGATTTGTTGTTGGAAGGAATGGTCTGGCAGCAGGGTCTCAATGGCTTGCACTGGGGTGAGT